AAACAGCCTAGCAGTGATCTATAACACCCTGAAACACTGTAATAGCAACCCAAAACACCATAGAAACACCCTGCCAATGACCTACAACTCTCTAGAAAGAACCTGAAAACCACTTAGAAAAGACCAGAAACCAGAAACACCAAACCTATGGGCCAGACCACCCTGGAAACACCCTAACAACAACCAAGAACATTATAGAAACAACACAGGAATGATCTCGAACACCCTGGAAACACCCAGAACACTCTAGAAACCCCCTGTCAATGACCCAGAGCTCCTTAGAAAAAATCTGAAAACACGAAAAGACAGAACACCATAGAAACACCCTAAAACACCCTGCCAATGACCCAGAACACCCTAGAAACACTGTAGCTACAGCATAAACACACTAGAAACACAATTCCAGCAAGACAAAATACATTAGAAATACTGTAGCTAAAATATGAACACCCTAGAAACACCCATATACCTTAGAATCACCCTAGCAACCACCTAAAAATAATAAATAAATAATGATTAGCGTAAACGTTCAGAAATAAACGTTCGCGAGATGTCACTGGGGTGGTACCTTTTCGAAAGATACACATTTGTAAGTAAAGGGTTCCTATTAATAGTTAAAGGGTACATATTTGTATCTAAAAAGTACAAACTTTTAGGAACTAATATATACGTTTGCAATGCAAAGGCAATGTGTGGATTGCATGAATGCATGAGTTTTGCCTCAATCATGTCTGTCATGCAGGTTTAATTAAATGAACTTAAGCAAAAAAAAATTAATGTGAGGAAAAAAAAACACCAGGCGAGTAAACTAGAGCGGTGCTCCACATTCGGTGTGAACCCATCATAACACTTTAAAAACTTTGGCACAGCAAATACCACCTTCTATGAACTCAACACCGCTCGATCAGCAATGTGATAAAGACACCTTAGCAACAGCATAGCAACACCCTGGCAGCCACTCGGAGCATCATGTCTGATTCAAAGATGCAGATCAGGCTGTGAATGTTCAGCTTGAAGAATGTGTGTGTGTGTTTGTGTGCGTGTGTGTCTCAGCTCTGCATGAATTAATCCCATCATGCTCTCTGGCATCATCCTGACAGCAGGGAACGGCTCGCTGTTAATTAGCTGTGAGGGAATCAGAAAGTGCTTTAGCTGGACGAGGCTTTATTCTTATACAGTGAGTGTGTGTGCGTGTGTGTGTGTGTGTGTGTGTGTGTGTGTGTGTGTGTTCACTGTAATTAGTGAGTGTGCTGGAAGTGTGATGGCCCCCTGAGAATTGAACATTCACACAAAGGAAGGCCGATGAAGCTTCCAAACATGAGCCTGCAGTCACAGCGCACTCCACATGTAAACAGAGCCGCAGTTTGACTGATCTGAGACTGACGCCATCATCATGTCATTGTGTCTCCACACAGGGACATCAAACCTGACAACATCCTGCTGGACGAGCAAGGTGAGACACATGTGTGTGTGTGATTGTAAGAGAGAGAAAAGTTCAAGGAGACACGTGGAGATCTGAGGACACGCTGTTCCACTAAACACCCCTGATCTTCCCTTTTTAGAAAGAGCAAATTATTGTGCACATTAGACTCCTGCAGTCATTCAGCGAATCCTCTGAGTCACAGCAGGAATAATATCGCAACACCCTAGCAAAACCCCTCTAGAAACACCACAAAAACAAGTCATACAGAATAACACCCTAGCAACAACACAAAACACAACAGAAACACCTTAGCAACGGCCAAGGGCACAGCTGAAAGATGCTAGAAACAACCCAGGACACACTAGAAACACACAATCTGTGATCCAGAACACCCTAGAAACACTCCATCTGAAAAGTGAACACCTTTCCAACACCCATAACATCTTAGAAACACTCTAACAACAATCCAGCAACACAATAACCTTAAACACAGTGAAAACAAGTGACACAGAATAACTTGACAACTGCCCATAACACTGTAGAAACACCCTAGCAACAACCCAGCACACCACTAAAACATTCCACTGTAAATAACCCAAAAACACACTAATAAAACCCGACCTATGACACCACAAAAACAAGAGACACGGAATAACCTAGTAACACCCTGGCAACAATGTAAAAAACACAGAAACACCCTAGAAACAATTCAGAACACACTAGACTCCCTACCAATAAACTTACAGTAACTACAGTAACAGTCCAGCAGCCCACAAACACCATAGCAATATCCAAACACCTTAGAAACACCATGACAAAAAGCAATACAGATTAACCTAGAATAACCCTCGCAACAGCCCAAAATACCACAATAACACTTGAGCAACAACAGAGGACACCATCAAAACACCCTATCAACAACCCCAAACACCTTAGCAACGTTGTAAAAAAAAAACAACCTAGCAACAACTACTAGAGACCTAGCAACAACAACTAGAGACACAATTACAAAACCTTAGAAACACACTAGACACCAAACCTATGACGTGACATGTCACACTAAATCTCAAACAACCTACCAACAATCTAACAACAACCCACAAACAACATAGCAATAACCCAAAACACCATAGAAACACCATGAAAACAAGCGATAACCTAGAAACACGTAAGCAACAACCTTAAACACCACAGAAACACCCTATCAACAACCCAGGACACTATCAAAACACCCTAGAAACAATCCAGAGCACACTAGATACACTCTATACAACACCTGAACACCTCAACAATGACCCAGAACACCTTAATAACGCCCTAGCAACAACCCAGAAACACCACAGCAATAACCCCAAACACCCTAGAAACACCATGAAAACAAACTACATAGAGCAACCTACAATCACCCAAATAAGAACCCAAAACGCCAGAGAAACATCCAAGCAACAACCCAAAACGCCATAGTAGCACCCTAGCAACAAACGAGGACATCATCAA